ACCCCTACCCCACCCTCCACCCACCCACCCCCCACCCCCCCACCCCCACCCACACACACACACAGTTCGGCGACCCGTACATCAAGGACACCAACCTGGAAGGAGGGCTCACCGCGCCATCCATTCGCAAGCTGAATGAGGTAGTTTCTTCTGCGCTCACATCGCATCCTTCTCTCCTGGAGACGCTGGTGCCTGGTCTGGCTGCGCCTGCTGCACGGATACAGGCACTGATGGAAGAGTTGGCCAGTGCGGCGGAAATCGATGAGCTCAAGGCGGAGATGGTCGAGTCAAAGTCGCTCGAGGGCATGGATGCCTTTCTTGAGCTGTTCATGGCAAAGATCCGTGCTATTCCTGTCGGTGGTATCCTTGTCATGGGCGGCGGCTGGATGGGCAAGGCATCCGGTCATGCTCTGCTATACGTACTCGAGCGCGAGGCTGACGATGCCTATGCCTTTGTGGCGTGCAACACTGGCGAAGGCATCCAGTACCACCCGTCGCTGGCCGGTGACGACCTGCTCTCGCGCAAGCGCAAGACCGCACTTCGCATTCCGGGCATTCCTGCCGCTGACTTTCTCGATCCGGCATTCTGGTACATGATCTGGAAGCTGCGAGTTACCAACAAGGAAGAGAACTCAGCTGCAGTCTTCTACGAAGTCCTGCTCGCCCATCTTGCTGCAGCTTCGGTCCTCGACCCTGCTGCCAACACCGTGTCCGGCATTGTTGCGGCCGACGCCGGCGGCGCGTCGTCGGGCGACTTTGACGCCGTCCAGCTCTCCGGCACCTGCTACTACAAGTGCATCGTTGCCGCCCTTCACTACCTCAACAAGCGCGCTGGTCTTTCTCGGGTGGCCTCGGACCAGATTGTCCTCTTCGTCCGCCTCGCCTACCTCCTGCAAACAGGCGCCGACCTTGACGATCTCGCCGCCCGGCGCACGGCAGCCGCAGCCTCTCCGCCGTCCGCCCCGCTCCCAGCGCCAAAGCTCGCCTCGCTCGCCCGCAGCCTTGCCTTTAACGACTCGGACGCCCGCATGGTCGCCATGGCCTGTGCTGAGACAGCACGATCTGCCGTCGCGCTCGCCGAGGCCAACGCTGCTACTGCCGAGACGCTCTCCGCAGCCGCGCTCGCTATCGTTCAGGACTGCATTGCAGACGTGACAGCCGCCGCAAACGCCGCCGCAGACGCCGCCGCCGCCGCGCCCGACGACCTTCCACGCCCCGCCACTCCCTCACCAACCCCGACTTCCCCGGTGCTGAGCGGGTCGCTCGAGAGCGCTGCCACGGCACCGCTGCCCTTCACTGGCTTTGCCGCCCTCGCCGACACCCGCGACACGAGTGCCTTTGTCGGCGACACCACTGAAGCCGCGCCCGAACTCTACGTGGACCTCCTTCCGCCTCCCGCCGCGCTCGACTCGCTTCCGGCTGTCCTTGGCGCCATCCACGACCTCGCCGATGCCACGCGCAAGCTCCGGTTTAAGACCTCACACTGCGCCGACTCGCTTGCTGTCTTCCAGATCACCGCCCTCGTCGAACACGTTCTCACTTCGTCATTGCCGATCCCGGGCTCGTCGTCGTCCTCGGTCTGGCCGACGCAGCCGGCTCCTCCGGTCTCGGGCCTCACTCCGGCCTCGCAAGAGGAGGCTCTGCTCGACCTCCGCGACATCGCGCTGCAGTACATGTCGTGCTCGTGGTCGCTCTCGCCCGACCGCGCCCTCGATGCGCACCGTGCCCTCACGATGGGCGGTCTTCTTGCCCTCTTTGATGCGCTCGCACGCCTCTCCCCGGACTCGGCGCCGCCCTCGCCGCTTACCACCCTTCTGGCCGGCGCATCGCAGAGCGGCCACTTTGCCGGCACCGCCCTCGGCATCGACACCAAGTCGTTCACCTCGGCCTCGTTTGCGGCCGCCACCGACGCAGCTTGCCTCTACCGGCCGGCTTTCCTCGCCCTCCGCGCCGCTGTCATCACATACTTTGTCAACCTGCCGCAACAAGTTGCACTGTTTGCTTGGTCGCCCGCCCGGCCAGCTGGACCCTCCTTCCTCCGCCGCATGATGGAGACGCCACAGTACACCCTGACCGAAGACGATGTCACGCTCAAGGTCGTTGCGGAGCTCCTCCACGCCTGCGGTCTCGCGTACACGCTCCCGCCCATGCCGCGCGGCCGCAACCGCGGCGCTACCAACCCCGACGCCATGTCCGACGTTGAGCGCCTCGTCCGCTGGGCCGCCTCGGACTGGTCAGCTCTTCCGGCCTTTGCCGCCCTCCGCGACTTGATCTTCCTCTTCAAGCTCTCACTCGAGCCGCACATGCTCTTCTTCCTCGCCAACGAGCCGCTCGCAGCGCTCCCGGTCTGGCACGCCTCCCACGTCCGCCCCGACTGGCGCTTCTTCTCAGCCAACCAAGAGGGCAACGCTGCCACACTCCGCGTCGCGATCGCCGACCCGCGCCACAACCTCACCCTCGGCGTCGGCTCCGTCCACTCGTTTGCCTCGCTCTCGGTGCTCGCCAACAACGCCTCCGAGGCCGCCATCCTTCACGCCCACACCCTCACCTCGTTCGACGGCACCCTCTCGCCGCAAGAGTCAGAGCGCCTCCTCTCGTTCCTCACCCAGCGGTCGCTCGCCATTCCGCTGATCCTGGAGTTTTTTGCCGCCTCCCGTGTCGGCTATCTCCTCAATCCCTACCTCCAGCAGCTCCTCGAATCGGTTCTTTTCGAGCCCGGGCCATGGACGCCCTCCCTCCACGCTGCCGGTGCCTCCATCGTCGACGTCCCGCTCGCGCCCGATGCCGCTGCCGTCGCCCTCGCCACCCCCATGGGCCGCCTCATGCACGAAGTTCTCTACGCACCTGCATCGCTCCTCCCTCCGCTCCTCGCCCTCCTTCGCGATGCCCTTGGCCTCTGCTCGCAGCACTACGACGGCCCGTTTGTCCCGCTCCTTCTCTACCTCGTCCGCCTCGCCACCCGCGTCCTCTCCTTTGCTGCGGCCGCTGCCGCAGACCCCGACCTGGCCCGCCTCGCCCGCTCCACTGCAGAGGCCATTGCTGCTCAGGCTGCGCTCACCGACTTTCTTGCCACCGCCGTCGTCGATACACTCGCCGGCTACATCGCCGCCGCAGAGGCTGGAGACGACCTCAAAACCTCCACGTCCCTCCACGTCCACATCACCCTTGTGTACGGCGCAGTCCTCCCGGGGCCGCTCGCTCACGCAGACGCTTTCCTCGCCTCCTCGGCTTTTGTCGTCTCATGGCACTCCGAATCGTTTGGTGCCCGCTCGTGGCCGCAGGATATCAACCCGCGCCTTGCCGTGCCCACTGCAGACGTTCCGGTCCACGACACGTTTTTTATCTATGAGCTTGCCCGCCCGCAGCTTGTCGCCGCGGTCGCGACCGCGCCTCAATCGGCCCTTGATGCCACGCTCTCTCGCGTTGTCGCAGCCGCACTCCAGCGCGAGGCCCCGGCGCTTAACGCTACCCCGGCCTGGCGAGGATGGTCTGCCGTCGCAGACAAGCCGCTCCTCTGCACCCACGTTGTCGAGTCGGCCCATCCCTACCCGAACGCCACAGACTACTACGAGACGGTTTCCTTCCCCGGCGCCCCGTACATCACCCTCTATTTTGACCCCAAGACCTCCACTGAGGCCTCCGCGGACTACATCACCATCTACAAGGACGCCTCCTGCACCTCGTACTGGGGCCGCGGCAAGCGCATGTCCGGCTCGCCTGCAAAGGGCTGGCCCGGTGCGGGTGGCGCCCCGCCACTCGTCATCCCCGCCGACTCGTTTGTCTTCCACTTTCATTCAGACGCCACAAAGCCCGACTGGGGCTACCGCCTCATCGCCTCGGCCCCGGTCGCTCCCGCCGCTCTCGCTGCCCTTGTCGATCTCCCGCCTCCGCCCTCGCTATCTCGACAAACCATTCCACCACTCCTAGCCCAGCACGCCCTCGTCGCCACCTCGAACGTTCTCCAAGACGCGTACACATGGCTCGCAGCTGCAACTCCCGCCGATCTTTCCGCTCTTGTAGACGCCGGCTCGTCCGCTGCTGGCGACGACGCCGTCGCTGGCATGTACCGCGACCCCATGTCGGTCGTCGTTGTCAACATCCAGACTGCAGAAGTCTATCTCCGCTCGCGCATGCTCATGCCGGTCCCCATCGATGTCGCCGGTGCGCCTGACTTTACCCGCGTCCTCGGCGACCACGACTCTCTCTTTTGCGCCGTCCTCTCGGCGAACACTTCGGCGCGCACCCTCTCGGTCATGGCGCCCGAGGGCGTCCATACTGTTGTCGCCTGGCGCCCGCTCACCTACGACGCCGCCGCTGCTGCCATGGCTGCCGCCGCCGCATCGGCTGCTGCCTCTGCTCCGGTCGTCCAGCCCTCGCACCCGGCATCCTCCTCGTCCAACACCCAAGCCCGCGCCCCGCTGGGTGGCCTCCCGGACCAGCCGGCCTACAACATGCCGCGCCGGGCGCCCAACGGTGGTCTCGCCTTTAACGGTCGCCTGTACAACGACTACACCCCCGGCTCACTCTCTTGGATCTCGTCAAAGCTGGACGTCCTCGTCGACGACGCCCTCGCCTCGGCAGAAATCGCCGACGTGCCACTCCTCTGGGTCTCGGACGCCGTCACGCCGGCCTCGCTCTACGCCGTCGACTCGCATCTGATCATGTACATGCCGCCATCCGGTGACCTCGAAGCCGCCAAGGGCCATGTCGGCGGCTTTTACGCCATTGTTGCCTCGCCCGCCACCTCCTCGCTCGCTGTCTACGCCCTCGTCGAGCACGGCCGCCGCATGTACCCTCGCTTGTCTACGCCTCTGATGGTCGCCTCGCTCTGGCAGACCTCGAGCCCGACGCCGCCGAGCGTGATGAGCCCTGGCTGCCGGGCACCCGCTACGCTGCGGGCAACCTCTTTGATCTCACCCTCGACAAAAAGGGCCAGCTCATCCCGACTGCCGGTGCCGGCGAGCGGGTCCACGACTTGGTCGGCTCGGTCGTCATCTCCCGGCCCTTCACCCTTCCGCGAGTCGCCACCGCGCTCGCTGCCGCTGCCGATGCGCAGGCGGAGTACTGGGGCCACGCACTCGCCCCTCCCAAGCTCTCGGTCCTCTTTGAGCCGGCGGTCGCCGCCTCCCGCGAGACTTACGTTCCCCCGGCCCTTCTCACCGGCCTTCTCCCCGCCGCTCTTGTGCAAGCTTACCACTTTTGGCGTCCGGCCCCGCGCTTGATCCTTGGCTATCCGGCTCCCGACGCAGCTACACACTGCCCTTCGGCGCCAGGCACTCTGCTTGTAGTCACCCTCTCGCCGCGCATCGCGCTCCCGCTAGCGCCTCATCTCCCGCCGCTGCCGTTCCCGGTTGACCCGAGCTGGACCGCGCCGCGCCTCGCCGCTGCTCTCCTCGCCACCCCGCCCTCGCCCCGCATGCACCCGCCCTCGCTGAGCTCATACATGCCGGTGCTCTCTGTGACGCCTACGGCCGCAACCTCTGCACCTTCTCGGGGGCGCTCTCGTCGACCTCGGCCCTCACCTGGGACGCCGCCGTCGTCCGTATCGCTACTGACGGCGTCGACGCCTCCGACAACGAACGCCCGGTTGCCCCGTGCATCCACACGCTCATTAACGTTGCCGCCGCCCCGCCGTCTTCGCCAGCTGCCGCCACGGCTCGCATCTTCACCCGCATCGAGAACCTCTCCCACGTACTCGTCTGGTCCACCGGCGTCGCCCTGGCACCCACCGATCAGCTCCCGATCTCGCTGGTTGAGCTCCCGCGGCTTCGCACCCGCTTTGCGCTCCGCGCCTCGCAGCCACCGTCCTCGTCGCTTGCCTTTGCCTCGCTCGACTATGACGGGCTCGCCGTCGCCCCACACCCGCGCCCGGCCACGCTCGCTGCCGCCGGACCACTCTCGCATTACCTTGTTCTCGAGGACGCCTCGCGCCAGCAACACCTCATGGTGCCGAATGCACCGCTGCTGCGAGTCAAGATCAAGTCGTGTCCATTTTCGTCAGACATGGCTCTTGCGCGCGACGCCGGCTGGCTTGATGCCGTCGCCACCCGCGTCTACGTCTACCCCATTCACATCTCGGGGGCATATCTCCTCACGCCCTCGCTCTCGGCCGCGTTCTACCTCTTCTACGTCTCGCTCATGACCGTAACTACGCCGCCGCCGCCCGCTTGCTCCCGTCGTGCTCATCAGACATGGCCTTCTCGCCCGAGGAGCGCTGGGTCGTCTCGCTCCTCGCGGCCTCAGTCGACGACAAGCACCCGGACGCCCACGCTCTTCGCCTCCGGTTTGGTCTCATCATCCGCGAGTGCGGTGAGACCGTGCCTTGGGAGTTTGACGACGACGTCTCAGCCTACCTTGCCAAGTACCCGCACGTCTCCTCGCTTGCCCTCGTGCCGCTGGCCGATGAGCGTCGCCTCGTCTCTGACCCGCATCGCATCGCGCTTCTTGACGCCCTCGACGCCGCCGCCACTGCCGGCGAGCTTGCTGTTGTCACCGGCCCGCCGGCCCCGCCTGTCGACGCCGGTAGGCTTTGGTACTCGTTTGCGTCTGCTGTTCCCAACACCCACGCACAGCTCTCGGCTGCGCCCCGTATCCGCATTCGCTACAACAAGCCTGCCTCGCCGCTCGCGCCGCCGGCTGTCTTTCGCGCCCTCGAGGACTTTTTCGACGACACCCTTGACGGCCGCGAGGGATCCGGCTTTGCCTTTCTCTACGATGCATTGGTCGGCGGCCTCGACCTTGGCCTCTGGCTCGATGGCGGCTCGGCTTCGGCTTCCCCGTCATCGCCTCCTGCCACGCCTACCCGGCCGGCTGTCGTCGACGGCCAGCTCGCCTGCCCAGCCTGCACCGTCTACTACCCCGCCGTCGACTCGGCTTGCAACATCTGCGGGACGCCAAACCTACTCGCTGCTGCCGCGCCGTCGTACGCTACAGAAGACCGGCTGGCCCTCTCCCGCCCACAGCGCAACCTCCTCCGCTTTGTCCTTCGCGCCAAGCTTCTTCTCATCACCAACAGCGGTGCCACCGAGTCGGTCCCCGCCCGCGACGCTGTCCTCCTCGCCCTCCTCATCGCTACCGAGGCCATCGTGGCTGACCTGGCTCCTGGCGCCAAAGCCGCTTCACTTCCGGCTCTTCCGCCCGGCCTTGGCGCCGACGACACCGGCCGCGACGTCGCCTCATTCCTCCCGCAGCTGCTGGCCGCCACCGCGCCCGTCGTCTCGTCGCCAACCTGGGCTGCCCGGGCCAGCGCCGCGCCCGTCGCCGACTTTGCCGAGGCCACAACGCTAGTTGTGGATCCCAAGGTCGCCATCCGCGGTCTCGAGCTCGCACCAGACACCGGCGGCTCGGCCATGTCGCTTCTTCATGCCGCATCGCTGCCGGTACATGCCAGCGATGCCTTTGTTGATGCCATTCGGCAACACAGTCTCCTCCTCGCCCCTGACGACCATGCTGCTGCCCTCTCACGTCCGCTAGCTGGCCTCGGTCTCGACGCCTACATCACTCGCATCCCGCTCGCCGCCACCGACCTCCTCAATGCACTCCCCTTTGATCTCTCCTCGGCCGCTGAAGCTTCACTCGTCGCACACAACATGCTCGATCGCATGGCGAGCGACCTTGCCGCTTCGGCATCTGCCGCCACTTCTGCCTCGTCCTGGCACCTTGTCTCCCTCGACGCCCGCCTCCTCTCCGCCATGGACGCCGATGTCGGGACTCCGACCGCCCCCGGCACACCGTCGCCGCGCACCGTCAACGCCGCTCATGCCGATCACCTCCGCACTGCCCTTGCCTCGCTCAAAGACCTTGGTGCCGCCCTCGATGCCTCACGCCTCGCAGACCTCGATGCTATCCGCGCCGGCGTCGCTGCCATCGCCCGCCTCGCCAACGCCGCTTCAAACCCGAGCTCGCTCACTGCCATTGTCTTTGACCTCAAGCAGACCGGTGCCGTCCGCATCCAGCTCTGGTTTGAGCTCGTCGTCGCTGCCCTCCAGGCCAGTGAGCCGGCTCGCTATCTCGCTGCTCTCAACCCGCACCTCGACGCTGCAGACCTCGACGCCCTCCTTGCCATCGCCGCCACCGTCCTTGTCCGGACCGTCCGGCTCGCCCAGACAAACGCCGCTCTGGCTTCACTTGCTACCCTCACCAGCCACATCCACGAGCTCCTCGAGCGTCGTCTTCACACCGGTTGGTCCTTCCTCCGACTGCCGTCGCCCGGCCTCATTGCACACGCTCTTGCTGCCGCCGACTACGACCCAGGCGCGGCACGGTCTGCCGTCGCCGACCTCCTTAACGCGGCTGTGTCGCTCGAGGCAGACCTCGCTGCCAGCCTGAGGCTGTCGGACGAGGTTGCGTCGCGAATGGTGTCCCTTGTCCTCGCTTCGACCAGCTACTCGCTCGACGCTGCTTCCGCCATCCTCGCCACGCCAGCCCGACTCGCGCCCATGGTTGACGCCGCCGCCCGTGGCTGCCTCTACAATGGCGTCCCCCTCAAACTGCCGCCGGCCCACCCAGAGCTGGTGGGCTCGTCCGCCTCGGCCTCCTCGCTCGTTCACCTCGTCGAGCACACTGGCGCCGCGCTAGCGCGCATCCTCGGCGCCAAGCGCGCGTACGTGGACGAAACGACCTCGCTGCCGACGTTTGATCCGCGCTTCCTGGTCTTTGAGTTTTCAGTCGGCTTTATGCTCCGCGCCCGCCAAGTCGAGCTCATCGGTGACTTTGCCGCCGCTGCTGCCCAAGGCTCGTCAAGTGTCCATCAGATGATCATGGGCGCCGGCAAGACCACCGTCATCGGCCCTATGCTCGGCCTCATTCTTGCCAACGGCTCCTCGCTTGTCACCCAGGTTGTTCCTGGTGCCCTTTTGGACATGTCGCGCAACGTCCTCCGCACCGCCTTTTCCAACGTCATGCCCAAGCGCATTTACACCCTCGCCTTTGACCGCTCCTCGCCATCATCCAACTCGATCGACGCCGTCCGCGCTCTGGCCGCCAAGCTGCGCCGTGCCCGTGCCCAGCGCGCACTTGTCGTCACCACTCCCGAGGCTGTCAAGTCGCTCATGCTCAAGTACGTTGATTTGCTTCAGTCGGTTCAGTCGGCCTCGCCGCTCCTCCGCCTTCCGCGCTCCGCCCTCGGCTCGCAGGCCGACAAGGCGTCGGGACTCGCCTCTCAGCTCCGCACGAACGAGCTTCTCGCCGACGAGCTGGCGACCATCATCAAGCTCTGGTCGGCCGACGAGGGTGGTGTTGCCCTCCTCGATGAGGTTGATCTTCTTCTGCACCCGCTCCGCTCAGAGCTTAACTTTCCCATCGGGCCCAAGACCCCCTCCCGCTGGAAGCACTTCGCTGGGACCTCCCGCTCCATCTTCTTGATGCCGTCTTTTTCACCACAACCGGCCGCCTTGCTCTTCCCGGCTTTCGACCCGACCCAGACGCGCTCGCCATCCTTCGCGACCTCGCTGCTGCCGTCCATGCCGGCGTCGACATGCTTGCGCTTCAGACCTCGCCGCATCTTGTCCTCCTCTCGCTCGACTACTATCATGCCTCGCTCCGCCCGCTCTTTGCCGCCTGGGCCAAGGTCTGGCTCCTTGCTGCCGAGCCGGCGCTCCTTGCCGTCGACGCCGACGTTGTGTCCTACCTCGGTGCGCCAACCTTGAGTCCTGGCCTCAAGGCCCGCGTCTCGGCCGCCGCTCCGCCACGTGCGCTCCAGCTGCTCAACCTCGCCCGCTCCTGGGTCGTATCCTTCCTCCCGCATGTCCTCGCCAAGATCTGCCGCGTCCGCTACGGCCTCCTCTCGCCGGCCGACATCGACCGTTGGTCCGCCGCCGAGGGCGCGCCGGTCTCGCTCCCGCTCTCGCGGTCGCTCCTCGCTGTTCCGTTTGTGGGCAAAGACGTGCCATCTCGCTCGGCTGAGTTTGCCCATCCAGAGGTTCTGCTCGGCACCACCATCCTTGCCTACCGCTACGAAGGCCTTCGTAGGCACAACATGCGCACCATCGTCCTCGATCTCAAGGCCCGACTCCTTCAGGAGACCGGTCCGTTTGCGGAGCGTCCGTCGCGCAGGCTCTTTGCTGACTGGCTCGACGCCGCCCGCCTAGCGCTTCCAGACCCGTCGGTCGCGCCAGCGCTCCTCCCGCTGGAGCTCTTCCAGCCGGCCGACCCACGCCAGCTCGACCAGCTTGTTGCCGCCCTTGCCTTTGAGCCGCTTGTTATCCACCACTTTGTCACTGCCCACGTCTTCCCGCAAGTCATGCGCCACCAGGAGCTCAAGCTCCAGGCCTCAGGCGTTGACCTCGGAGGCGACATGCTGTTTGGTGTCCGCCTCGGCTTCTCCGGTACGCCGTCTGATCTCCTCCCTCGCTCGCTTCAGCCGTGCCACTACGAGCCCGGCTCCGAGGCCAAGATCATACGAGTCCTCTCGTCGCCGACAAACGTTTCAGTCTCGCTCCTTGCCGACTGGTCGGTCGACTCGATACTCGCCTCGGTTGCTTGTCCGCAGCCCGGCGACGCTGCTCCGTTCTCCGCCCTCATCGACACGGGCGCCCTCATCACCGGTCTCACCAACGAGCAAGTTGCACGTAAGCTCCTCGCCATTGGACTCGAAGGCTTTGACGTTTGCGTCTTCCTCGATGCCTCGGACCGGAAGATGTGTGTCGACCGGACGCCCGCGCCGCCAGTCCCGCTCAACCGCTCCGGCGTTGCTCTTGGCCGGCGCTTCACCTTTTACGACCAGGTTCACACCACAGGCATGGACATCCGCCAGGCTACCGACGCCCGCGCCGCCGTCACCCTCGGCAAGGACATGACTCTCCGTGACTACTCTCAGGGCTGCTACCGCATGCGCGGCCTGGGCCGCGGCCAGACCTTGCACCTGTTCATTGTTGCTGAAGTGGCTGCCCTTGTCGACGCCGCGCTGCCAGACGCGCCTCCTCTCGCCTCGCACCCGCCTGTCTCTGTTGTTCTCCGCGCTGTCCTCGCGTGGCTCATTACCAATTCGATCGCGTCGGAAAAGCTGCAGCACCTCGCCCTCTGCCAGCAAGAGCTCCATTCGGTCTGGCGGAAGCAGGCGCTCGACTCGCTCCTCACCCTTGCCACCGCGCCGCAGGTTGTCGAGCCCTCGGTCGCGCTCCTCCCGTCGCGGTTCTGGGATCCAGTCACCGACCCTGGGGCCATTGACGCCATTGTCGCCGAGCACTCGCTCCTCACCGACTCGGAGCGCGCTGCCATGGCCGAGTCGACTGCCCGTGAAGCCGCCGGCATTCGCCTCACCGCCATCACCTCGCGCATCGCTTCTAGGAACATCCCACTCCCGGTTGACTTGCGTGTTGTCTTGAGCCAGTGCTCCTCTCCGCAGGAAGCCGTCACTGCTGTTCTCAATCTCCTCGAGGCATGCGGCTACGCGCCGTCCGAGTTTGACGACGACGCAAGTGACGCGAGCGCGGCCAATGTGGCCGTCGATGATGGCGACGGTGATGGGCCAACTCTTGACGAAGTCCGCGCTCCTTTCTCCTGCACGCGCTGCACCATGTTCAACGCCGGCGGCGGACGCTCGTGCGAGGTCTGCAACTCGCCGCGTGACTTTGCCGCCGAGCGCGCCGCCGCCGCCGCTGCTGCTGCCGCCGCCGCTACTGCTGCCGCAATCGAGTCACCGCCGCCGTCGCCGTCATCGGCTGCCTCGCCACTGCAGATCCTTATTCCGCCGTCGCCAATCGGGTCCGGGCCCAAGTCCCCGTTCTCGGCTAGCTCCGGCTCTGGCTCCGAGTCCGGGTTGGCATCTGTGGGTGCCACGCCGTCGCCGGCCCGCCTTGTCGAGTGGCTCAACGTCTGTGTTGAGATCTTCCGTGAGACTCTAGGCACGTTGCAGGTGCCCGATGTGGTTCCCGAGCCGGTCCCGTTCTCGGTCAAGCTCCGCTCGCTTGCCTTTGCCAAGCGGGCGTTCCTCAAGGATCCATCAGCCTCGCTCGACGTGGAGAACGTCATTGCCCATGTCGAGGCCCAGGAGGCCCGCGCTGCCGCAGCAGCAGCAGCCTCTGACATCGACGACACCGCATCTGCCCTCGGATATGATGCAGAGATGGAACAGGAGCAGGAGCAGGAGGAGGAGGCCCAGCAAGAGGTCCAGCAAGAAGAGCAGGTCCATGTCGACTACGCCTCCACCCCGCCCATCGCCACCACCTGGCCCGTCATGGCTCTCGGCTCGCCGAACAGCCTGGTCTCGGCTGTCTTTTACCCGCTTGCTACCTTTGTCCTCCAGGCATCTGTTCCCCCGCTCGCCTTTCCCCCATCCATGCTCCTCTCCGAGAACTACGCCACTGCGCTCCACCGCTCGGACCTGCCGCGTCGGCTTCGCAACATCGACGTCATCGCCGAGTGGACCCTTCCAACCGGCCAGAGTCTTCCCGCTCATCTGCCGTCCGGCGAACCCGTTCAACTCACCCGCTTCTATGTTGCTATCTCACTATCCGAGGCCGCCGCCCTCCGGCGCGTGATTGACGTCGCCGCCGGCAGCAACATTGCTGGCGCCGGCCTTCGACTCGCCTTTGTCACCCCGCGCGGCCCGGTTCTCCTCGGCTCACTCCAGACCTACACCGCGCCGCACCTGGCTGTCGCGCCCGAGCCGCTGTTGCACGTCGAGCCTCTACTCGGCCTAGATCACGCTACGGCTGTCGCTCAGATTTCGGCGGCCGTCGGCAAGTTCACTGTCCTCCTCAACACCGCACGCGTCGCTCCGGCCGAGGTCCCGCTCGCTGCCGCCTCGCTCGCCCGTCTTGAGTTGTTTGTACCCTCGACCTCCGGCTGGGTCGACGACCTTCATGCCGCCGCTCAGGCCTTCCGCTTCTTCGACTGCGCACTCTGGTTCACCGACGAGGAGCTTGTCAAGCTCGCTCGCGCGCTCGGTGCTGCGCCGCCGGCCGCCCGCGCTGCGTTCTTCAGCGCCGTCGTTGGTGCTCGTCGCCGCGACCGCGTCGAGTGGCGTGATACCAAGGTCGCAGGCGTTCTTGCTCAAAATGCGCTCGATGCTGCCGCTCTCTTTGCTCTTCGCGCCACCACCCTCCGTGTCGCCGCGCTCCTCGCTGCTCAGCACGCGTCGGCGCTCGCCGCTTTTCACGCCCTCGATGCCGATTCTGACGGCTGGATCTCGTCGGCAGAGTTTACTCGCCAGCTAAGCTCGCTCGCTGCCGCCGATGTCGAGGCCGCGTTTGCCGCCGCCGACCGCGACGCCGACGGCCTACTCAGCTACCGCGAGTTTGCGTCATACTTTTGGCTCGCTGAGTCCGTCGTCGCCGCGCCGCCTGGCCTCGCTGCCGTTTCCGTCTCGGCCTCGCCGTCGTCCAGTACCTTTTCCGGCCTTGATCTTGTCGCCAGTCCTTCTTCGCATGTGGAGGACCGCCCCGATGCCTCTCCTCAGCGAGGGCATCGCACCCCGTCGTTGGCTGTCATGTCGTACTCGGAGCTCGCGTCAATCGGGACAACCGCGGTTGTGTCGGGCGGTAAGGCCATGATCACCGACGCCTCCCGGATAGTCCTTGGTGAGCTCGAAGTTGTCACCGTCGTGCCTCGCGGCGTTGAGCTCGCTGCTCCTGGCGCGTGGTACTTTGAGGTTGTTGTCGAGGGTGGCTCGTCGGCGCTCGACGCCACCATCAGCCTCGGCCTCGGCACCCAGCAGCTGGCTGTCTCGTCGGCCATGCGCCGCGGAGTGGCCGGGGTAGACTTGCGCTTTGCCGCCCACGACATCGTGGTCGGCGACGTCGTCGGTGGCCTAGTCACCGTCTCGCTCGCTTCTGATGGCGGCGTCGCGGCTGCGCTCACAGTCTTGATTAACGGCGAGCCTCTAACCGAGATTTCCTACGAATCGGGACCGCCGGTCTTCCCAGCTGTCACCCTCGAGTGGCCGGCGCAAGCGAGGGTCAACTTTGGCGGGCATCCGTTTGTGGCCAACCCTCTCCCGCGCGGCGCCGAGCCGCTGCTCAACTTTGCGCATGCGCGCAAAGAGCGGATTCACGTCCTCAACGCCGGAAGTCGGTATGGCTTGCTCAAGCCGACGTCCGGCTCGGCACAGATGACCATCACCGACGACCTGGAGGTCTCGGTCGAGTCTGGCTTCCCGTCGGCTGTCCTCCAGGGCTGCCTCCTCACTACCGGCAAGTGGTACTACGAGGCGACTATTGTCCGCCGCGGGGTGGCGCAGATCGGGTTTGCCGACCTCGAGTTTGTTGGCTCCTCTCGCGACGGAGTCGGCGTCGGTGACGACAAGAACTCGGTCGGCGTTGACTACGAGCGCTGCGTCCTTTGGTACGACGGCCGCAACCCATTTGGCAAGGCCTGGTCGGTCGGCACCGTCGTTGGCGTCGCCGTCGACATGGACGCCAAGACGATCTCGTTCTCGCACAACGGCGACTTTTCCAAGCCGTGTGGTCGCGCCATGACCAACTTTGACTTTGTTGCCGGCCTCGCGCCGGGTGTGACCCTCAACCCGTGCGCCATCCGCCTCAACTGGGGCCACACCCCGCTCGCACATGCCCCGCCGCCTGGCCACTTGTCGGTCGCCGACTGGCTCGAAGCCCACTCGCCGTCGAGCCCGTGTCCGGAAGCCATCGCCAGAGTCGCCACGTCCCGCGTCGCCGCCGCCGCCGCCGCTGCCACCGCCCCAGGCGCCGCTCTCCGGGTCGCCGCCGGTCATGCTGCCCTGGCCATCGACACCGAAGACGCCATCGTCGAATCTGTCTCGCCAGGCTATCCCACCGCGTGGGCTCGTGCGGCTCTGCCGCTCGCTCCGGGCGCCATGTTCGAGGTCACTCTCCTCGAGTTTGGTCCCGAAGCCGTTGCTTCCATCGGCGTCGCCCGGCACGACTTTGTCGGCGATGCCACGTCAGCGCTTGGCGCCTTTGGCGGTGTTGGCCATACCCACACCTCGCGAGCCATCTTCCTGCAGGGTATTTCTGCGGCGTCGCGCTACGTTCCGCCGCTCCACGACTTTGGCAGCCTCTTTGGCACCCGCCCGTCGGCCGGAGCTGTCATCGGCGTCGCGGTCGATCGTGAGCCTGGCGGCGGAACGCAGATCTGGTACGCGCTCAATGGCAAGTGGGTTGCCACTAATGACACCTCGCTCGAGTTTGGTAGCCTCTATCCCGCTATCTCGCTCACGCCCAACGTGGTGGCCCAGTTTAATCTCGGCGGCCGTCCATTCGATCACCCGCGGCCGTAGGCGCGCTGTCGGTGCCCGGGCAAACCACGACCCGCACGCCAAACAGCTGCCACTCGTCAGCCCGCCCTCCGGCGCCAAACGGCAAGTGGCAGATCGGGGTCGAGTCGCGCGCGCTGTTGAGGAGCGGGACGCGGACGGTGTCATCGTCGTTCTCGCTCCCGCGCCGCCGTGACTTGCGCTTCGGTCGGATCCACAGGATCGGGAGCGCCGTGAAGGGCTCCTCCGAGTCGACAAGGCACCCGGCTTCGTCGTCAAGTGTCGCCCCGCGCATAAACAGACCACCCACATACAGACCGCTCTCCGGCGCAGACTCGACAAGATGCGGTGGCATGTCCAGCGCCGAAACCTCGAGCTCCAGATCGGCCGAGCACCGCGTGCTCGCGCCAGCCCCGCTTGGTCCACGCACCACAAGCATTCGTGCAAACAGCGCCCGCGCCGCGAACACCGAGTCCAGGTACACAACCCGCGGAATCCGCTCTGCCGGGGACAGAAGCAGCGGGCCGCGCGCCACTGCGGTGCACCACTCGTCGATCGTGGCCAGTGCCGGTGGAGAGGCTGCAGACCAGGCACGAGGAACCGCGCCAGCCAGAAGCGCCGTCGCCACATCTTGTGCTGCCGGCGAAAAAGGCCACTCCGAGTCGAGCGCTCTTTGCATCGCCTGCAAATCGCGAGCCAGAATCGCGTCCAAGCTTGCGTAACGACGGAACTCGGAGAGCGAAAAGGCTGTCAGCGGCTCGCTTGGGTCCGGCTCACGCACTCGAACCAGCGGGAGGAGCGCGGCTAGTCGCGACGCGATCGGAACGAGCGCGCGCCGCGCATCGTGGTCAACAAGTAGGTTGTGTCTCACGCGGACCCTCTCGCGCTCGCTCTTGACCATGAGCCGCAGCTTGGTGGTGAGCGCGTCGCCACGATCTGTGGCTCGGGACGCAGCCGCAGACGGTGGGAGCCGAAGGATCTCGGGCGTGTCGTGGTGAGGCAGGTTACTAATGACGCCAAAGACCGAGCTGAACCGCGAGAGCAGCGGTACGTCATAGCCGTCGGCAAACCGTCCGCCAGGCTCCAGCCGCGACTGTTGCAAAAACGTCCGCGTCATGGCCCGCAACACGGTCTCGTCGGCTTCGCTTGACACACGTCCACTGTACACCAACATGGCCACGTGCGCCGCAGCCTTGGCATTCGACGAGCCGTAAAAGCCTAGCAGCGCCTTCAGCACCCGCTGCGCAAGCTCCAGATCACTCTCGGCAAAGACGCCTTGCAACGTATTGGCGGCCATCTGTGTTCGCTCGCGCAAGACGGCGTCAAACATCGTGAACGCGTATACCGATCGCTTCCATGCCTCGGGCACCACCGCGTTCTCAAACGCTTCTTTGCCCAGCAGGCGAAACGCCTCGTGCATGCGGGCCCTCACTCCGCGGGCGGGTGCCACTTGCGCCTTGACACACAGCCGCGAGATGCCAAACGGCAGCAGATGGGCAGACTCGGCACCGACCGCCAGCCACAGCCGGAACGTGCTTGCCACCGTCGACATCGCTGCTAGCGCAAGCAGGCGCGACTCAAGCTCCGCCCACCACTGCGGCACAAATTCGAGGTGGACGAGGACTACCCATCCACCGCTTGCTGCCCTACTGGTAATCGCCGCCTCGGCCGCCGCCAGCGTCTCGCCTCCGAGGCCGATGATCGTAACGGCCGATGTCAGGATGCCGACCTCGGCCGCCACGTCGGCCACTCGCGTGCTGACGTCGACCCGCGCCCAGCCATGACCAACATCGGTACGGTAGGTGAGGTGAACCGGAATGCCGCGTGGAGATCAAAGACCGTCGGCTCTACAAACTCGGGGCCGAGATTGTCCTCCACAAAGTTGATGCACGCCTGCACCACGCTCTCTGGATGAAGGACCTTGAACAAGAGCAGTGCGTCAATGTCGTCGAGCCGCGACGCCCATCCACCCGGCAGCATTGCCTCCGCCGGCTCGCGTGCCAGCACAAACTCGGCCCAGCCCGACCCGGGCTCAGCCACTGACTCGAGCAAGCCACGGAACGACGACGGAAGCATCGCCTCCAGGAACGCCAGCCCAGCCCAAGCCTCGGGTTTGAGCCACTCACTCAGCTTGTAGTCCATGTCCGGTGCCGCTGCGAGCAGCTGTGCCCGTGGCGGGAGTGGCGCCACAAGCAACTCGAGCTGATCGCGACTCACCTCGCCCTCAACTAGCTGTAGCTGCAGAGCAAGGTGCAGGGCCAGCGGCAGCCGATCGCTCTCGCAAAGCGTGGTGCAGAGTGAGCAATAGACCTCGTACACCACGTTCTCACGAAACCGAGCGGCAGCAACTCCCGCCGCCGCTCGCGCCGCCGCTGCTGATGCTGCGCGCGCTGCTGCGCTGCTGCTGCCGAGCGCAAAGCCAAAGCCCGAAGCGTTGAGGTTTGATGCCGAGGTGACCACCTGCATGTGCTTCTGGCGCTGGGCCCGGATCTTGCCGATCGCAAACCCGCCGCCAGGCGTCCGCGGCACGTCCATTCTCGGCACAGGCAGCGCTTGGCTCCCGGAACCTTGGCTGCTCGAAAACGATACGCCCAGCGTCGCGCCCGGCGCCTCTGGCCCAAAGCCAACCGTAGAAAGCGAGGTTAGTAGCGCCGTAGTCTTCGGCGCAAGTTCCATCGCCGACGTCGTGGCCACGGGGCCGTGGCTCGCCACATGCGGTGTCATTGGGCTCAGGCTTGCCGAAGATATCGACGCTGCCGCCGTTATCGGGTCACTAAACAACAGCGCCAGTGATGTGGCAGACTGCAGTACATTTGCCGATGAGGGGGAGGCAAGTAGCGCCTGTCGCTGTACGCGTGTTGCCAGAGCTGGGATGCCCAGTCGCGACATCGAGGCCGCTGCAGCAACCGTGTCGCCGTTGGCGGCATCGTGGCGGCTGGGTGCGAGGTCGACAGCCGACATGTGCGGGAAGACTGGCGGTCGAAAGTCGTTAGTGAAGTCTTGCATCGAGCTCGACGGCGACGACATCGACGCTGACGACTCGGAGCCAACGACTGTCAACGACGGCGGGTCGCACATTTCCATCAGCGCGTCAGCCATGAACCGGCTCGACGTCCGACGCATACCCCGGCGCTTTGACGCCCGCTCTCGGCCCGCCGCAATTGACCGCCCACTTCCAGCGGGTGGGGGTGAGCCTCCGCGTGCCACAATGCTCGGGAGAACAGCCAGCCTGTCTTTCCCCATCGTGTCGATGGCGTGCCGTGACATGCTCGCCGGGCCCTGTGAGTGCTGGCTCGACTCGGTGCTTGACGACGAGTCTGAGCCGGCCGAGTACGGCCGAGCCTCTAGTGACGAGATCGAGTTGGACGCTGCGAGCTGGGCAATCCGCGACTGCGACCGCGATCGGGACCTTGACCGCGATCGTGACCTCGTCGCGTTGCCCGGAACCTCCAGAGTTGGCGACGACGCCTGTCTCTCGTCTGACGGCCTGGCCCGCGCAAGGTGTGCCCGAGCTCGGGCCTGGCGCTCTCGCACAGAGGTGGGAACAAGAGGCGACATCGGTGAAAGCGGCGGCGTTCCCGCAGACGTCGGTGTCGACGCCCGCCACTCTGGCAGCGATCCACTGGATGCCACCGACCGACTCAGCACTGTGGCCGCTGATGACGAGACCGACGATGGCGACGACGGCGAGAATGGCGACGACGGAGAAAGCGTCGAGCTTGGTGACGACAATGACTGCAGCGAGAATAGCGACGACGATGAAGACGACGATGATGACGATGCATTGGTCCGAGTCAGCGAGAGCTCAAGCAGACCGCGTGAGCCAGAGCCAAGCTGAGACCGGCTTGCAGCCTTGGAGCGCATCTTCCGCAGCCGCTTGGTCACGCTCGCAGAGGTAGCACGCCGGATTCGGGATGACCGCGAGCCGGCCGACGAGTCCGACATTCCCGATGCCACCGACAACTGCGATCGATGGCTCGTCATGGTCGGGACGACCGGAGACTGTGGCGAGGGCAAGACGTCTGACCAGTCGAGCGAGGCTACTGACGAGTTGGACATGACCGACCGCTGGCGTTTGTGGGTGGCCACCATCGGCGCATTGTCCACCGTTAATGTCAGTGAGAGATGCGGGAGTCCTGTCGGGCTTGGTGCGCTCTGACCCGGCACGTGAATGGCGGGTGCTGTTGCTGACAGTATCGACGTCGGCGAGCGCGGGCTGAGCAGCGCACCCTGTCCTGGGTCGGCGCCGTCAACAAGCACCGCCATGACTGCCCGCTTGTAGAGATCGACAAAAAAGTCGAGCGAGAACTGGTACATCGGGTTCAGCTGCCGCAGTGAGAGTACAATCGAGTAAAGCAGTGCGCCAAGTTTTGCCGCCGGATTGAAGAGCTCGTGGTTGGTGACAAGCGAGGTGTAGAGCTTGCGTGCGTCATCGAGCCCGCTCGAACTCGTCGCCAGCGTCGCCGCCGCCTCTGACACAGTGTTCAGCAGCTGATCGCTGTTGAGGACAGACTCTAGGTCGGCCGACGACACAGCGCGCAGCTCAGCGAGCGAGGCCTTGTCCAGCTTGGTCTCCTCGACCGCCAGCCGCGAGAGCACGTCGACAATCGACGACTCAAGCGCTGGCTGGACAACGCTCACAAGCTCGCCAAGCACAATTCGCTGCGTCGCCGCCGAGCTCGCGCTAAAATTGACAAGTGTGAGCCATGGCTCCAGGGCAGGCGTCACATCCACCTCGGCTGCAAGGAGAGTCACGTACACCTTGTGCAGCGGGGCGGTGAAGACCGGTCCGGTGAGCTCCTCCGGATTGAGCAGCCATGAGGTGATGCTCGTCTCATCGAGCTGTCGCTCGCCTTCCACTAGAACAACCAGCCGGACCCGGGGGTCCAGCTCAAGCTGTGCATCCTCACGTGAGATCTGAGACGGCAGCAGCGCTCCAGCACCATGGATGCGCAGGTACGGCTCGAGTGCTACGGCGACCTTGCGCTGCCGCTCGCGGCGGGTGTCCCGCGGCGAGACAGTGACAAGCGCATACAAAGCATCGCTCTCGCACAGCACGTGCCGCACAGGAAGCTCGGAATCGTCAACAACGAGCTCGGTTAGCGCTGCGTTGAGCTCCAGCGCCCGCGCCCAAACCCTCCGCGACTCATGCGAGTCCGAGTACATAGCCCGGAGCCAGCGCGCCGCAATGCCTTGTGGGTCGTGACACGCCACAATCGGCGTTGGTGCGTGGAGGACGACCATCGCGTTGGCCTGCGAGTTGGAGTCGGGCAAAAGGCCGCAATACTTCCACTGGGTGAGTGCAAAGGTAAACGGCGAGTAGAGCGCGGCAGGCATGCCGGCTACGCGTGGCCGAACAAAGATGTGCTTGCTGCGAACATCAACATCGGCCTCATCCGTTGGTAAATCCCCCGCACTCGTTTCCTCACTTCCATCGCTGGCGACGACGGCGATGAGCGCGCGCCGCTGCTGGACAGTGAGTGGCCCAAGCCACGCTGCCCAAAGCCCTGCCAAGAGTCCGTCGTCGAGCGACGCTGGCGCTCTGGAGCGAACTGCATCCCGCAGGCCAAGCCACTCGCCGGCGCGCTTCTTGAGAGCGGCAAGAAGGTTGGTGCCGCGAGCGGCAGCGGCCGACGTCTCATCGACAGCGTCGGCAACCGAATCGCAGGCCTCGTTCAGCTGGATGTAAGTGTCGCGGGCAGCATCGACGGCGGAAAACTCGTCCGCGAGTGCAAGCTGCCGCTCGACAACTAGGTCAAGGTCGGCTTGGGTGTCCTTCATCGATTTTTGCAGCTTGAACAGCGCCACCGAAGAGACCGAGTACTGCTTGGCAGCACGGAGAACCGCAGCCAGCCAGTTGTGGAGAAGGCAGAGTGTCGGACTCGCTCCGTCTGGCAAGCTCTCTGGCAGCAGCTTGGCGAGCTGGCGCACTTTGGATAGCGGGATGCCCGTCGGATCGACGCCGTCAACGGCCGACTTGAGCCGATGCGTCTTGTGGAGAACGCCAAGCCCGCCGCGGGTACTGGGGCTCTTGCCAAGGAGGAGACCGACGGCGGCAAGGGTACCGGCCCGGTCTCGGGCGTGCCGCCGTCAAGGTTGTGCAAGAGTGCGAGCGCCGACGCCGGCTCGTCACGAAGTGCCACCGAAGCGGTCTCGGCCGCCTGGATCTGCGCCGACAGAACAGCCTCCTCACGAGCCACTCTCGCCTGCGCCTCGACAAGCGAGTGCTGGAGCTGGCCGGCTTCGCGCGCAAGATGGCGCTCCGAACGCTGTGCCGATGCCTCGTGGACCAGCAGCTCTGACCGGGCTTTGGCAAGCTTGATCCGGGCTGTGCTGAGCTGGGCAAGAAGTGCCTGCTCGCGGGCCTCGAGCTCTTCGCGCTGCGCGTCGATAACCGGCAGCGCGTCGAGAACCGTATGCATGGTCTGGAGAAAGCCGGCATGTGAGCCGACCGCGGCGCGAATGTGGGAGCCAAGGCAGGCTACCAGCCGATGCACCATGCTGAGCGGGAGCGCGCCAGTCGCGGCGCGCGCGAGCGCACCCGTAGCATGGGCAATGCCACATTTAGCGCCGGCTTGGACAAGCTCGTGGACCTTGCCCACCACGTGGGCGACGAGGGCATCGAACGATGCGCTCGGGAGACAAACGTCGCGGACCGGGCTGGGGAGCGAACTGTCGAGCCACTCGAGGTGTGGTACAATAAGATGCTCCACAAGTTGAGTGACCGAGACAGGTGCCACCCCCCGCGCGAGGGCGACAACGGTCGACGAGCCGACCAGTCCAGGATAGGCTGCCCCAAAGCCAGCAACCTGGCCAGGCTCGTCGTCGGCGACGGCGACAATCACCGTGACTCGCGACCGGATGGTAGCAAAGAGCGCGGCGGTGAGCTCGTCGCGCGGCACGTCTTCGGGAATAGCGAGTGCCGTCGCAGCCGTCGTCACAAGGCCGCTCACCTCTTCCGCTGAGAAGAGGCCAGCCACGTTGCCGCCGCAAACAAGCGAGGTCATGGCATGAACCACGTCCGGAACGGCCAGCAGCGACGCGTCGACAAACATGACTACACGTCGCATCTCAACAGCCGCTTCGGTGCACGCGTCCTTGAGCATGGCAAGAGTGTCGCGAAGATGTGCAGCTTCGCCGCCGACGGCGCTCCGAGGCAGGGCGTGGTAGAACGTCGCGCCCGAGAGAGCGGCGGCGGCACGCGCGGCGCTCGTCTTGCCGCTGCCTGACGCGCCAGTAAGAACAACATGTGCGTTGTACGGTGCCGCGATGTGGTAGTGGAGCGCGAGAACGTTGGTCACAAACTCGGTAAACGCAACATGCGGGAGGCGATGGCCAGAGCACCGCGCGAGAACGTGTGCTACCACAGCGTGTGCAAGATCTAGGGAGCCCACCAAGACGTTGGCCGGGCGGAGGAGACGGCCTGAGTTTGCGAGTGCAGGTGGCGTGTGTGCATCAAAGGTGTGATGCAAGCGTGGCATCGGCAGTGAGTCGGCGGCGGCAGTCCAGGCAGGGGCCAACTTGGAGATGATGGGGGCGGAAGCGTCGGGCCCGGTCACGTCCCAGCGTAGGACGGCGGGCTCAACGTCGAGGAGTGCGTAGTAGGTACGCTGCTCGAGAGAGTGTATACGGGTACTGCCGAGCGAGAGTGTGCGCAGCATGTGTGCGTCGAGCGGGAGTGAGAGCTTGGGTGCATCAAAGTTGGCCCGCGCAGCTACCAGTAGGTGACGACGGAAGAGCTCGGGGTGGTTAGACGTAGGGTCGAGCTGGTCCCCAAAGCTCCGCTGCGCTGCGAGAATCCAGGTCTTGGCCAAAAGATCGGGTGTGGGTGCAGCGAGGGCCACTATGCGGAGAATACCGTTAGCAAGCGCCACCAGGCTTCGGAGATTGAAATTGTAGTGTGGGTGGACGTGGGCGGCATAGTGGAGCTCATTGCGGGTATAGTTGTACACGTCGAGCGAAGCGGCGACTAGCGCAGGGATGCAGCTTTTGAGCGCGTTGAGATCGAGGGTCATGCCAAACGCAGCATCAAAGACCTGCGATAGGAGCGATGAGAGCGAGAGCATCTCGGGCTCGGCAAGCGCAATGGGCAAGAGGAGCGAAGCGAGCCGCGAGGAGGCACGAGTCGGCAGCTGGGCAGCGCCAATGAACCTCGGCTGGGCCCACTTGCCGACGAGCGACCAGTTGCCAAGGAGGGTGTCAGAATCTGCAGAAGCCTCGTCGCGGACAGCGGGCCTGTGGAGCCCGCCAAGAATCAAGAGCTGGCGCAGCAGCTCGTGGCTGGCACACACGCCGGTGGTGCCTGGCACAGCTGCACCGAGGTCGTCGACAAACAGCAGTTGCGGCGGAGCGGTGGCAGCAAGCATCGGGGCGAGCGCATCGATGAGTTCAGCGCGCGTCATGTTGCGCAAAAGGCCAATTGAGTGACTGGAGTACGATGACGACGACAGGAGCCAGCGAGCGAGCGCGGACTTTCCGTTGCCCGACTCGGAGACAATGAGCGTGGGAATGGCGGCGGCAAGCGCGAGATTGGTGACCGTGGCGACCTTAATCGACTCGAGTGTGGGTACAAACGGGACGGTAAAGATGGACGACGCCTCGGGCGGAGGGATGGCAGCGAGGGAGAGGCCCTCAAGCGGCGCGAGCTCGCCGGAGCTGGCCTCGACAAAGTAGTCAAACAAGTTAGTCTGTGGCGAGAGGAGGAGAACGTCCTGGAGGCGGGCGTGGGCAATGAGCTCAAAGTCGTCGCAGGCTGGAGCAGGCAGGCCACCGCCGAGCGACCAGAGGTAGGCGTAAGCAAAGACAGATGCGACTAGTTGATCCGGGTGCGACTTGCGGCGGACCCGAGGCTGGATCGACTCGAGCGTGGCGCTAAAGAGCCGGAGCAAGTTGTCGAGCGCGGTCGGCCAGGGGAGGCACAAGCCAAGTTGGGTAGCGGCAACGTAGCCGGCCTCAAAGTGGCTAAGCGCGAGCTCGCGGGCGTGCTTGTCACATCCGGATGGGATCATGGCGGCTACGGCGTCAGCGGTGAGCGGAAGATCGATGGTGACAATGGCTAGACGCGAGACAATGGCGGGTGAGGCATGCACAAGGTCGTGGGCTTCAAAGATAAGCCGCGTCTCCGGCGCAAGCTTAACGCGCTCGCCGGAAGGGAGGCAAGCGTTGGCGTTCTCGTCCATGATCGAGTTCATGGCCTCGGCCCACGAGACATCGACCGCACCGTCCAGAACTATCACAGGGCGAATAGGCTTCTCGCTCTGCTGCAGTGTCTTGAGGGCAGACGCCAGGGTGCCGGACGACCCGAGGAGAGCGTGTGGGCCAAGCGCGTGTGGGAAGAGCTTGACAACCGCGATAGCAAGGTCGGTGAGTGGCGGCGGGGCGCGAGTCGGGTTGGATCGGAGTGCAAGGTTGGTGAGGGCGGTGCAGAGCGCAGCAATGGCCGTCGACTTACCCGAGGCCGGTCGCCCGACAACCACTACGCCGCGGTTGGCAGAGGCGAGCGTGTAGAGGTCGAGCGCGGCACGGGTAGTCGACGGGAGCGGAAGCGCGACAAGACCGCGAAGCGCGGCCGAGAGTGCGGCTTTGACCTCAATGTAGTGGTGGGTGTTCTCGACGCGGACGGTGCTGAGCGAGCTGCCGGTGTCAAGATGAGCACGGACGCGTGGAAACGCATCCGAGACTAGGAGGGCAAGAGTCGAGTCGCGGAGCGGCGCCGGGACGAGCGGGCCAAGCGTGGCGAGCGTCGCTTGGGTGATGCGATCCTCGACGTCAAGTGCGGCGTACGCGCCGAGTTTGCCAAAGCACGCAGCGAGTCGGGCTATGGCCACAAGGGTCCTCAGCGAGAACGCGTGCGTAGGTGCGGCAGTGAGTACGGCGCCGGCCGAGTCAAGAAGGCCAGTGAGCCTGCGAGCAAGGTCGCACGCCGGCTTGTCGTCGAGTCCGGCTCGAACAAGCAGAAAGTGGGCGATGGCGACAGTGTCAGGCAGGGTGAGCGTGATCGGCCGGAGTTGTGAAAGAAGAGCATCGGGCAGTGGGCGCTCGTTCGCAAACGGCGGGTCCATGGTGACGGCGATGGCGGCGGTCGGCGAGAGGCCCATCGAGACGCCGGAGAGAGTGATCGAGTCCGAGCCTCCGGCGAGGGCGCGAAAGATGGTGGCAACGTGCTGCGAGAGGACCGAGAGGATGGGTAGGGCGAGGGCGTCAACTTCGTCGAGGCAGAGCAGTTGCCCGGAGAGAACAGTGCCAGAGAGGAGGCTGTGGACGGCGGCGTATGATGTGCTCGGTGAGCAGTTGAAAACCAGGGTAAAGACGCCGAGCATCTTACCGAGCTCCTTGACCGTTTCGGTCTTACCGGTGGCGGCCGGGCCTGCGAGAGCGCCACCAGAAAAGGCACCGATGGCGAGGGCAAGGTTCTGGAGGGCGGCGACGGTGCGTGGGGTGCAAACGAGGCGCGGTGCGAGGCCAAGATACTCAAACTGGTACTCGAACGAGTGGACTGAAACGGCGAGGGTGAGCTTGCGAGCCTCGTAGTAGTGCCGGGGAAGCGAGACCCACTCGTGGGCCCGAACCGAGGTGACGCCCGATGCGACCAGATCAGCCACTGTGTCTCGGTGGTAGAGCGTGAGCGTGACGAGGTTGGAGACGAGGAGGAGGATGCGTGGTGGCAGCGAAGCCGATGCCGCCGAGATGGCCAACGCGCGCAGGACCGATGTCAGCTGCGAATGAAGCTGGCCGAGGAGGGCAATGACGTGCTTGGAGGTGAGGAGCAACTCAACAGAGCGCACAAAGTGGACCGCGTAGCCGAGGGTGAGCATCGAGTCGGGTACGGCGCCGATGAGTGTAGCGCCGGCGACTGCGGGGAGGGCGAGCTTGCCTGCAGCATGCGGAAAGACTTGGACAAGCTCGGCTGATGGTGTTGGGAGCTCGGGCAAGACGGGTGACGAGGCAGTGAGAGCAGCAAGGACGGTGTCGAGGGCGTCGGTGAGGGTACTCTTGACGCCAGCGGTGACGGTGGCGAGCCACCGCTCGAGGCCACCACGGGCAAGTACGCGCGACGAAAGCGCAAACGACTCGGGTGGGCCTCCGTCTCGCAGCGTCGCCGAAGTGACGCCGACAATAGCAATCGGGGCGTCGGACGCTGCCGACGGCTCCGACGTCAGCGAGGCAATGCCAGCAAACATGAGCGGGAGGTAGGGCGCAATGGACTCGGGCGTGTCGACGTAGTCGATGAGGAGGTCAAGAAGAACCCGGCGCGAGAGGAAGCAAAAGCGCGGAAAGGCGCGGCGCTTGTTGGCGAGGTAGTCGTCGATGGCGGCCTTGGCGTCGTCGAGGTGACTAGCGGTGACCTGGAGTGAGGCGAGCGGGAGCGATGAGGGGACGAGAAGGGTGGACTTGGCCGCTAATCCATGGTTCATGGCACGGAACGAGGAATGTGCCTTTTGGACGGTGCGCAGGTGCTGCGGCAGCCGGCGCTGTACATCGTAGGCCTTAAAGATGGCAGCGAGGTCCATGAGAGTGGCCTGAACCGCAACAGCGAGGCGAAGAAAGGCCGCGAGGTGGTTGAGAGCTGCAGTGAGCGAGGTGGACATCTTGGCGAGCGCTCCGTACTCGGCATACTTGGAGGAAGAAAGAGCGGAGAGGGCGAGGCGGTCATCCTCGAGACTGTCGATGAGGGAAGAGACGGCTGGTCCCTCCAGGACCATGGTGTCGGTACCAAGGGCGGACGACGGCGGGGCGGGGACGAGGGGGAGCGCGCGGGCGAGCCACTCGGTACGAATGAGCGAGATCCGCGACTCGACGGTGTGCTCTTTGAGCGCGGCGTGGGCGAGGGAGTGCAGCTGTGGCATGACGCTGCGGAGGCCGACATCGAGAAGGGCCCCAAGCGAGATGTTCGCTGGCTCGATGGGTAGAACGTCTGGTGATGGCGAGTGGAGGAGTGCGCGGAGTCGAACCCAGTGGACGTAGCGGAACGAGGTGTGGAGAAAGGGGATGAGGAGCGGGAGGTGTGAGGCAAGAAAGTCGATGGTCGAGGCGAGGTACCCGAGAAGCTTGGTGGCGAGCAGAGCGTCTGGATGGGCGATCAGCTGACGGTGGCCACTCTTGAGCTGATCGAGCGTGGCCGAAAGATCCTTGGCGTTCAGCGACAGGATCGGGGTGGCGAGCCAGGAGGCAGCGGCCGCCCGGGCGGCGGCGACGAGTTCCCAAAGCGAGGCAAGGCCTTCCAGTCGGGCAGAGAGCGGCGGGAGCGCGGAGCGGTCTGGCTGCGGCATGGCGAGGGCGGTCCAAGTGGCGTCCGAGGCGGCCAGCTCGTCGAGGAGCGGCTTCGCCGATGCATTGAAGGCGCCAAGCAGCGAGTCAAGCTCGTCGGCCGGCGTCGAGAGAACCCAAAGGCGCGGCTCGTTGGCAATGGCGGCAAAGAGCTTGTTCATGTTCTCGGCGAGGCGCTCATCAGCCGCGAGGAGGTCTGTGACATGGAGGGCGACGGTGTGCTCGAGGGCGGCGGCAGCGACGGTGACCTGTGAGACGAGCGACGCGTGGGCGTTGTGAATGTCAGCCGCAGTGCCCGTGACAGCAGGCGGCGTCGGGGCGGGAGGTGTGCGGCGAGAAGGGTGGTGAGGTTGAGAAGGGCGGTCCGAGCAGCGGCAAAGGTGGTAGGCAGTTGCTCTTGGGCGTGGGAGACGGCGGCGACCCAGGCGACAGCGGCGGTGACCGACGCTGGCTGGGTAGCCAGCGTGGTGATGGTCTGGGCGACGGCAGAGAGGTAGGCCGAGGCGTGGGCATTGAGCAAGTCGAGGAGCTGGTCGTGAAAGGAGGCAAGCGCCTTGTCAAGCGCTGGTGCGAGGGACGCACGGAGCTGTACGGCAGTGACAAGGAACGGGCCGATCGGGCGTGGGACTGCAAGTCGGTCGACGGCAGCGGCGAGGGCGCTGGCACGGACAAGCGACGAGGCGACGGTGGCGGTGCCTACCGGGGTGTCAAGAGCGGGTGCGTGGAGTGGAAGGGTGAGACCTGGTGAAGTGCTGACCGCCGTGGCCAGGGCTGAGAGCGACGCAAGGTGTGCACGGACAGTGTCGACGTAAGCGGCGATGTGGGTGGCATAGCGGTCTTTGGCGGCGGTGAGCGGACCAAAGGCGTCGACGACAGTCGCGAGCGGCGAGGAGGACGCGCCACGGAAGCGACCAAAAACGGTGAGGACCGGGTCGGAGATGAGCGGGACAACAGGATCTCCGCAGGCAAAGACCGATGCCGGGAGAAGCGATGGCAGGGCGGCGAGGTAGTCAAGGAGTGGGCGGAGGAGAGGCGTGGTGGTGACATTGCCGGCGGCGTCGCTGGTGGCGTGGAGGACAAAGTACGGGGTTGGTGGGGCAGTCGGATGGACATCGGCCTCAAGGAGGGGTGGAAGCGCTGCGTGCGCGCGTGGAGACGGCGGCGCCAGAGGTGGATGGCCGTCAAAGTGAGCAAGCAGCGCGTGCGGGGAGCGCGACGCCGAGTTCTGGCCCACCAACGTAGCGAGTGCGTGGTGCGTCGAGCCTACGGCGGCGGTGAAGAGCGTGCCAAAGATGAGGTAGTCCGCGAGGCGGATAAAGGGCTCAAAGAGAAGGATGCGGCGGTTGATGTGGACCGACTCGATGGAAGTGCCAGGAACAAGCTCGCCATGTTCGTCGAGGTCGTACGGGGTCGAGTCGAGGACGAGCTGGGCGGCCGAGTGAACGATGGCGCGCCAGCCAAGATAGGACTCTGCAAACCGGCTTCGCATCACGGCAAAGCTCTCAGCAAGGCCGGCGAGATGATCCGGAACCGAGGCCAGGGTCGGAGGAAAGAGAAGAAGCGGGTTGGGTGCGTCAAAGTGGGTGTCGAGAAAGTCGACAAGGGCGGTGCGGAGAGCAAGCCGAGCGTCGTGGAGCGGTGGAACCGAGACAAAGAGCCTTCGAAAGAGATGCTCCTTCCGGAGGGCAAAGATGCGCGCGCGGATAGCGGTCCGCCAGCCGTCAAAGTACTTGCGAAGCTTAAAGGCGGCAAAGTAGTGCAACCGGCGCATGGCGTTGTAGTTGGCCAGATCTCGCTCGTACTCGGCGCGCGGAGTAAACTCAGAATACGACTCGCCGCGAAAGTGCGTGAGCCCTGCGTCTGAGAGAGTAAAGTACTCGCGCGACGGTGGCGGGAGGCGTGTGGGGCGCAACTCGTAGAACGATGGCAGCAGCGGGTTGGCATACACCAGGATCTGGATCGGCGGATGCGACGTCGGCAGCGCCGGCATGACCGCCTTCCCAGCACCGCTTGCGGCACTTTCTTTCCGCTGCGGAGAAGCATGGACGGAGGCATGCTCCGCTACTTTGCCACTTTTCGAAGAACGATCGCGATGCGGCGAGCGGAGTCGGTGCGATGCGTCGGGCGCTCTCGAGTCTCTCCGTCTCGCCAGCGATCGATTGAGCAGCGGTGATGGCAGCGGCAGCGGCAGTGGAGAGTGGCGAGGGAGCGATGTCGGCGAGCGAAAGGGCGAGTGTACAGGCGAGGGTGAGGGCGAGGGAGAGGGCGAGGGCGAGGGTGAGCGGAGAGGAGGGAGTCTTGGATGTGGCGAGCGGTTGGCGCCCGCGCGAGCTGGAGGGGATGAGGGGGATGGGGATGGGGAAGGCTGCATGCGGCGTGGAGGTTGTCTGCGGGGTGGAGGGGTGGAGTATAGGGAGCGGCGGTGCATGGTGGTGGTGGTGGGTGGGGGGGTGGGGGGGGG